ACATTGAGATGCAATCCATACCGAAGGCTGCCTAAGACTTTTATTTTGTTGGTTACAATAAGATTCTCATTATTGCCTTATATGAGTTCCTGGTAGACAGAAAACTATAATAGATGGCAGCGTATGAAGTATTTTAGCCTTACTGTAAGAAGTTCATACTTAACTGTAAAGAAAGGCTCTGGTACTGTCATTAAACCATGAGTTAGTAGCATGGTGCTGTTTTCATTTGAAAGGTGGGGCGGTGGGGGGAGACCTTTGTCAGTATTGTTGCTTGTGTTTTTCTCTCTCCTTAGACTCCAGGAAAAGGCTGCCGATACCATTGAAGCGCTACAAAAAGCTGGAATTAAAGTTTGGGTTCTCACAGGAGACAAAATGGAGACGGCAGCAGCCACCTGCTATGCCTGCAAACTCTTTAGCAGAACCACGCAGCTGCTGGAACTAACCACCAAGAAAATTGAAGAGCAGAATTTACATGATGTTCTGTTTGAGCTGAGCAAGACCGTTCTCCGCTGCAGCGGCAGTCTACCCAGAGACACCTTCTCAGGGTGGGTAGCACGTCCACCCAGACCCATTTCACATCAGAAACATCCCCATGATTTCTGTGTTCACCTTCTATTAAAGCTTCCTTGGTCCTATCACCTCATTCACATGGTAACAGAGTTTTTGTTTTCACGGTTGTTAAACCAGCCTGTTTGTTCTCCTTTATGGCCCCACGCATATCAGACTTTCTGTGGATGTAATGTCTGTAATTTTCCTGATATGTAATTTTACTCTCTGCACATTCAGTCCTCTATCCAAAACCAGAATGTGGCGAAGGTGAACTTTCTAGCTCTGTTTGCAAGGGCAGAGGACCTCATTGTCCTTATTGGAATGTGTATCTCTCCTTGAAAATTACATCATCATCTTGTTTTAGAATAAACACTGAGGATAAGACAAGTTGTTTCTGTTCAGCAAAGTGGAAAATGTCACTTTACATTCTCTCTATAGCTCTGTGAAACTGGGAAAATCAATCTGTGAATGTGTGTGTATGTGTGTGTGTGTGTGTGTGTAAATTTTGGAGTGAGGTCTCATCTCCCATAACACAATTTAGGAAGTTCCATTGTAGACTTCTAAGGAACTCTTAAAGTGTAATAGTTACGAGTTGGGCTGCTAACCTCAAGGTCAGCTAGTTCGAAACTACCAGCGGTGCCGTGGGAGAAAGATGAGGCTTTCTGCTCCCGTAAAGATTTACAGCCTTGGAAACCCTGTACAGGGTCGCTGTAAGTCAGAACCGACTCCACGGCACACCACCACCACCACCACCATCACCACCACCACTGTAGACTCCTTACGGTGTTTACCAGAAGCAAGTAGGGAAATATTAATAATTCATGAAAGTTATCTGTAAAAACAGTATTTGCCCAAGAGTTGTTTTTGTCCTCAAGACACTCATCGTTATATTATGTTCTTATTCGTGCTGTCGTTGCTGATGCTAGATACTTTCTCTAAGATTAGATTTTACTTGATCTTAAATTTTCATCATTAAAACAACTACAGCTGTTGGCGGTTCAAGCTCACCAGCTGGTCCTTGGAAACCCTATACAGAGTCGCTATGGGTCGGAATCTACTCGACGGCACTTAATAACAGCAACAACATTCATATTTAAATTTTAAATGATTCATAATAGTACAATTTTTTTTCCACCTGATCTGCAGACTCTCCTAGTAATGTTCCTGGTAATTTTGAGACCCAGCAAACAGAAGTACTATGACCATGTACTTAACCAACTCAGGTAATCCAAGCAGGTTATCCAGGAGATAGTAGCTGGTGAAAGCAAAGATTGGGTTTTGCAGCTGTGGTCAGGAAGTTCAAGAATATAGACTGACCTCTTTAGGATGTAAGATACATACTTTCCTTATGTTGTTTCAGAAGTACTGAAACTTCCAGACAAACCCACACATAGAAGTGTCGTTTTGTTTTTGGTGGTGGTTATATGCCACGGGAGTCCTGGTGCGGCGCTGTGGGTTAATGCTCTGAACTGCAAAGTCAGTTAGAACTGCAGGGTCAGTGGTTCAAACTCACCAACCACTCCTTGGAAACCCTACACAGGGTCAGTATGGGTCAGAACCAACTTGATGGCACTTAACAAAACTATGAAAGCATGTGCCTTGGAGTCAGTTCTAACTCATAGTGATCCCTCTGTGGGGTTTCCGAGGCTGTAAATAATTACAAGAGCAGAAAGCCTCATCTTTCTCTCATGGAACTACTGGTAGTTTTAAACTGCTGACCTTAAGGTTGTCAGCTTGATTCATAACTGCTAAGTGAAGTTGTTGTTGTTGTTGTTAAGCAGCATGGAGTTGGTTCTGAATCATAGTGACCATGCACAGGGTTTCCGAGGCTGCAAATCTTTATGGGAACAGAAAGCCTCTTCTTTCTCCTGCAGAACAACTGGTAGTTTCAAAGTACCAACCTTGACGTTAGCAGCCTGATTCGTAACCACGCTACCAGAGCTCCTTGCTAAGTGAAGTAAGGATGTTTAATTAAAACACAAGAGAAAAATGTAGTCAAAGATGGTTGCGTTCAATCTTGCAAAGACTATTTCTAGAACCAAGTATTTTTCTTTTTATCCCCGGAATCATGGATTTATCGTATCCATGTTGTTGTACAGTGCTGTTGAGTGGGTTCTGACTCATAGCGACCCCGTATAGTGTATCCCAGGAGTGGCTGGTGAGGTGGCAGTTCAAATCAACCTTGGTGTACAAGTGCTTTCCCTACAGCTCCACACCAGGACTCCCCCAAACATACTTACATAGCTCTGACTTTCATAGATTTAACTATTGAGTAAACACACTGATTTGTACACTCGAACAGACTTTCAGCCGATACGCAAGACTACGGTTTAATTATTGACGGAGCTGCACTGTCTTTGATAATGAAACCTCGAGAAGATGGGAATTCTGGGAACTACAGAGAACTCTTTCTCGACATCTGCAGGAATTGCAGCGCGGTCCTCTGCTGCCGAATGGCGCCCTTGCAGAAGGCGCAGGTAATGTTCCGTTTCTGTTGTAATCAGTGGTTAAAGTGCATGTGAATAGTGAAACATCTCTATTTCTTACAGCCACTCCTTTGTTTCAAGATCTAGCAACTTGCCCCACTTTCTAAAATAGAAGCAAAGACTTTAGCTGATAGAAATAAAAAGATGAGTCTCATTTTTGTTTTGTGTTGCCATTGATCATCAAACCAAACCCAAATCCACTACTTCTGAGTTGACTCATGGGGGCCTTGTAGGGTACAGTAGACGTATTCCAATTTTACAAACGAAGTCACCAAAACCTAGAAAATTGGAGGAATTTGCCTTAAATGATGCATTTAGAAAATGACAAAGTCAGAACTTAATCTGTGCTGTCTGACTCCAAACTCAGGTCCTTCCTATTCTGCTGTTCTCACAGAATACCTGGACATGCCTTTTAAAAAAATTTCTTAAAAATCATTATAAAATATATATGTAAATGTGGCTATGTTTCTGATGTCAGTAAACTTAGAGAACTATTTTGACTTCAACACATGTTACGTACATAAATCAATTTATCTCTGATTGTTCAAGAAAGAGATCCATTTCTTCTCAGATTAATCCAGTGGTTCAGGCTAAAATAAATCTTTCACAAAATCTATAAACATTGTGCTTTGTCAATAGCTACTTTTATTTATTATATTTATCTGGCTGTGGTGTGGGTGTACTATAGGATCAGCACTGGACTGCAAACCACAAGGTCGGCAGTTCAAACCCACCAGCTGCTCCTGAGAAACCCTATACAGGGTCAATATGATTCGGAACAGAGTTTGACAGGATTTAGCAGTAATGAATACCCAGAGTGAAACCTAAACAGAGGATGTAAATTCTGCCTTTATTTCTTTTCCAGATTGTTAAATTAATTAAGCTTTCTAAAGAGCATCCGATTACTTTAGCAATTGGTGATGGCGCTAACGATGTCAGCATGATCCTGGAAGCGCATGTGGGCATAGGTAAGCCAGCTGCTCGCTTCCTTTGGGGCTACCTACACATCTTGCTAACCAAGACTTGTCACTTTGTCTAGACAAAAAGGGGGCACAACCAGAGGAAGTGTCGTGGAATCCACTAGGTACATACAGGGCACCAGCTGTAGTTTAGTGCATTCCTGACTTGGAAATCTCATAAAAAGGTTTGACGCTAACCATCTCTTGCTTGCCTGTGACCTTCCCCGTCTCCTAGGTGTCATTGGAAAGGAAGGTCGCCAGGCTGCCAGGAACAGTGACTATGCAATACCCAAGTTTAAGCACTTGAAGAAGATGCTTCTTGTTCATGGGCATTTTTACTATATTAGGATATCAGAGCTTGTGCAATACTTCTTTTATAAGGTAAGGTGGATGATTTGGGGCCCATTCCTCTATGTTATGCAGTGGACATGAGAGAACACAGTTGTTATAATGGATTAATGCTCTGAGAGGTCATTCAGTAGAAAGGGGGTGACTGACAGAAAGGGAGGGGTGAATCTCACTACAGAAGGAAAGGCCCCAGCACTTTGCCCACATTAACAAACTGTCCTGTAGAACCAAGAAGAAGGAGGAAAGGGTTTGCGGAAGGGCTATTCTTTTATAATTCCCTTCAGTAGTTTCTTACTTACTCTGGCCTCTTCCCAATTATATAGTTTCATTTTCCCAGTTTAACTGGCATTTGCATTGCTGCCTCGTTTCTCCTTGACTTAAAAAATGTTCTCTTCACAATGTCTGTTTCCCGAGTGCCAGAATATATTCATGTACACATTTTAGGTGCATTAAAAAGAAAAATACAGAAAATCATTTAGAAGCATCTGTAGATCAGAGAACGCTTTGGGATCGCTGTCTCCAAATAAAGTAACATCTTAGGAATTGTACTGTAAGTAGTAGATATCTCTTATGGCATGTCTTTGAATTAACAGCCTTGTGACTTGTCTTTCAGAATGTCTGCTTCATTTTCCCTCAGTTTTTATACCAATTCTTCTGTGGATTCTCACAACAGGTCAGTTTTAGTATTTCACATTAAAAGCTTGTCCGAGCCTTTTCATTCTTCCCATCGTGTTGGTTGGTGCAGGAGAAAAAGAGTAGACTTCCAGAAGTAACCCAAACACTCCATGAGAAGAAGACACAAATGTCTCTCCATCTCCCTGCCTCTCATTAGCCGACTTGGGATAAAGGAGTAGGGTGTGGAGCCCAGGCCCATGACACTGAGGTCCTGCACAGTTCTCCAGAGGTTATGCCTCCAGATTTGCAGATGCTGATGTATTTCTTAGGTGCAGTCCAGGCACTGAGGGGGCTGAGAGAGGCTCGCCTCCCTCCAGGGCTCAGGGCGATGCCGGGCTGGGCTTTCTGAACTTAACAGACAGAAAATCAGCTGGCTGTGGTTCGGTGTCATTGGGTCAGTTGTGAACTCACAGCAACCCCACGAACAACAGACCCAGTCGCTGCCTAGTCCCAAGCCGTCCCCACAGTCCTTGTGTATTTTGGAGCCTGTGGGTGCAGCCACTGTGCCAAGCCTTCTCCCTGAGGAACAGTGCAATCCAGGCCAAATGCACTGCATGGAGTCAAGTTTGACTCACAGCGACCCTGTGGGAGAGAGTAGCATTTCCCACGGGGTTTCCAAGGCTGTGAATCCACATGGAAACACACCGCCATGCCTTTCTCCCAAAGAGCAGCCGGTGAGTTCCCACCATGGAGATTTTAGTTGGTAACCAAGTACCTTAGCCCCTGCCCCACCAGGTCTCCTCAAGGGTCCGTATAATAGACCTACATCTTGTATTCTTTCATTGGCCCTTTGGATCACAATTGGAATTTAGCATATTAAAATGCTTTAAGTGGGGACGATTTTGCCCTACAGAAAATAATGGAGAAACTGCTTAGTCAATTGGCTGAAAAGGCAGCTATCTGCTTTATATGATTTATTACTTATTCACATGTCTGTGGTTCTTTGTAAATTCAAAGAGAAAAAAACATTTTTAAACAGAATATCCAAAATGTGTACCAAAAAATGCATTGGAGCGCTCTTTTCCTATATTTTTCTTACAGACTTTATACGATACTGCGTATCTTACTCTGTACAACATCAGTTTTACTTCCCTCCCGATTCTCCTGTACAGCCTCATGGAACAACATGTCGGTATCGATGTGCTCAGGAGAGACCCCTCACTGTACAGGTATGGTGGCGGTACAACAGCACAATAGGTTAGCAATCAAGGCAGGCATTTCAGTAAGTACATACTTGGCATTGTTTAGAAACTATGTATCAATAGATGCACTTGGTCCTGCAAGAAATTCTTTAAATGAATACCCTGGGATAGATTTATAGTACATTTGGAGTGTACGTATTACGCAGTTCGTATTTTTGTTACTTATGAAAAAACCTAAGAGTTTCCTTCCCCATTGTGACCTCTGTAACTTCATAGGCTAAGCTATCCTTTAAAAATTAAGTCTAAGGAACTTCAAAGAGTTGTGGGTAAGTGGAATTAAAAGATACTGGAATTTTTACCAACTGTTCTGAAAGGAGGGTTCACATTAGAAAGTCATGGATAGAGTGGGAGAAAATGTGAAACAGAGCTCAAAATTATTTTGAAAAAAAGACAAGGCTTGCTGGTCAGCAAGAGGCTGGAGGGACAAGACTATGGCCCTTGGTCACCCTTCAAGTCTGAAACGGACCTCATTTATGGCTCAGTTGTCAGCCAAGCAGTAGATAGGTATATCCGGGGGACAACACTAGTGCGGTGTCCACTTGATGGACTGGTCAGCCATTCTGGATCAAAAGGGCAGCGTTTACCTGAACACAAATTAAGAAAGGATGGGGGAAGAAGGGGAAAATGGAACCAGGAGCCACAGGGAGGAAGTGGGACTGCTGATGTTACAGGGAGGGGACTACAATCCCTGAGGTGAAACAGAATGTGTGAGTTGTTAAATGGAAAACTGATGTTCTGCTCTGTAAACCTTCACTGAGTTCACAATAAAACGTATAAAATAAAACTACAGAAAAGAATTAGGCTCAGTGTAGTACCCACGTCCGGTGATGAAGACTCACATTTTCCTGGGACGTTATCAGTGCTCCCTCAGTGGCCATGTTGTCACCATGACAACCAGAGCTGTTTACTGGGAGCCTCCCTCCCACTCTCAGTATTAACCAAACGTGCCCATATTCAAGCTAGCATGAGAGAATGGTAATTTTTTTAACCTATTACAACTTTAAACTCATTCTTTTCTCTACTTTTAAAAAATACCTAGTCATAGGAGTTTCCCCCATTTCCTGAAATACCCAATCTAGATCAAGCTCACTTCCTCACAGGAGTTGCCACCAAGCTGAGCGAAGAGCGGTGACCTTTATGTACAGCAGAGAAAACCCTAACCCCACCCTGCGGCACCCCCCCCCCCATTCCTGAGTGCAAGTGCATTGTTTTGGCTGGCTGCTGTGTCAAGCCATGTCACAGGGGGTCTCCGTTTCCCTCGCTGGCCCTCTCCGTCACTAAACACGATGTGATTGTCCAGTGACGTTTAGTTAGGCAGAGTCCCGGTACTACCTACCCACAGGGTTTACGTTGGCTGATTTTCAGAAGGAGATCGCCAAGCCCCGTCTCCCGTGGGTGGTCCTACTGGTGTTTGAAGTACCAGTGGCATAGCTTACAACACCGTAGCAACATGCAGCCCACCAGAGACAGGCGGTAGCAATTCCTGAAACCCTCTCCCAAATCACGTCGCACTGTCCTAATGTTATAAACCATTGTTAACATTGGCTTACTTAGAGACTCCTTGGTTCCTTGTTATGTGAGTGCTGCCGTAACCTCTATATGGTAGGCACTGAGAACCACCAAGTCCGTGGTTCAAGCCCACCAACCACTCCGTGGGAGAAGGATGAGGCTTCTGTTCTTGCAAAGATTTAAAAGCCTCGGAAACCCTGTATGGGGTCACCATGCATTGGAACCTACTCAGAAGCACTTAACAACAGCATCAACATTCAACTAAAAAAGAAAAGCAAATAATGGAATTTTTCCCTGTGCTTTTTGAAGTCCCCTCGCATATGTTCAATGAGGACAAAGGAAAAGGGAAAAAAGAGAAGCATTTATAGAACTGATAATTGTTGTTGTTAAGTGCCATCAAGTTTGTTCAGACCCATAGCAACCCTGCATGGGGTTTCAGAGGAGTGGCTGGTGAGTTTGAACCACCGACCTTGCAGTTCAAACCGACCTTGCGGTCCAGTGTTTATCCTACAGCGCCACAACAGGCTGTTTCCTGCTAACAATGTGTTTAATAATAAAGAATAAATGTATTTCTTCTGTTTCAGAACTGCACTCTGCAGTGTCGGGCATATGCATATGCCATTCTTGTTTTTCAGTTTGTTTAGTTTTTTTAATGCAAATTTATTTTGAGATACTTTTAGATTCACATGTAGGTCTAACAAATATTGCAGAGCCTTTATTCAGTGTGATATCATAAAACATCTTGCAAAGCTACGTAATACAATAACAAAACCAGGATATTGGTGTTGATACCATCCTCTCATCTGATTTAGGTTGTCTCACTTATACTTGTATGTGTGTATATAGCTCTGTGGACGGTTTTTATACGTAGAGGTTTGTGTATGCACTATGGTCGTTAAATGCCGTTGCGTTGCTTTCAATTCATAGCGATCCCACAGGACAAGAGTAGAACTCCCAGTAGCGTTTCCTATGCTGTAAAAAATAATGACATCAACCAGTGCTCCCACAGCCATCTGTGCTCAGCTAGGTCCAACAATGCATTGCAGTGGCCAGAGAACAGAGCCCAGAGACAATACTCACAGTCACGGGGTTTACTAGAGACGTTAACAGGATCAGAAAGGGCTCTAGGCACAGTAGTTCAAATCCAGCTGCTAAATGCCCACAGGACACTCCACTCCACCAAAGCCTCAGCCTGAAGGCGCTGGGCTCTAGCTCTGTGGGTCAGCTTCCTGCCCAGAGTCCCTCAGCTGCACTGGGCAGTCCGCTGCTCTGTCCTGTGCTCTGGTTCTTGGGTCTGCTGCTGCAGCTGTACCTCTGCTACTTCTCCGGGATCACAGCTTTGTGTCTCTGGGTCCAGGGGGATCACTACCATGGGATCTCAGGCTCCACTCCCCCACCTGATTCTGAGATGGTTCATTTTAGACCCACGTTCTTTCAAGTTTCCACAGTACGATGAACTCTCCTAACAGCCACAGCTGAATCATGCCATCCCATCAGTATCTTCTCCCACCTTCTCTTAGACCACCAGGAAAAGAATTGTTTGGTGGGAATTACAAAGTCTGAGACGAGAAGAGACATAATTCACTTACTACACCGCATAGGCTTTAACCTTGATGGGAACAGATCATCAGTTCTTTTGCTTGTACATCCACCGTTAGTCAGACAACGTGTGTCATATATCGGAGATTTGGTTAGGGACCCACCTTCATCTTGCAATGTTGAAGCCCAAAATCATCACTGTAAGTGACATAAGTACTTAGTCTTACGTACTCATTGCAAGAGTAAGTGTAAGAAAGTAAGAGTATATCCACACATTTACACATTTTTAGACACCTGTCCACAGGGAACCCTGCTCCTAATTTCTTACTGAACTAACAGGTATAAACCAGCCTGAGAAGAAGACTCCTCATCATCAACATAGCAAACAAGAGATCTTCGGTCTAGTTTCAGTTGCTAAATGCCACACAATTGCATTGTGTTCTATGGTAGTTACTTTCATTCAGTTGCATAACTATATGGCATCTGTTTGCCTGTATCTGATCTTTGGAGCTAATTTGAGAGAGCAAATATTCAAATAAGAATTAACTGAGAACATTTATATGTGTAGTAAATGGTAAGTCAAAAACATTTTGTTCTTTGCAGCCAGGGAGCTCAGACTTAAACTTTATTGATCATGTATATTTGATCGTATATGGGAATATATATATATATACACACACTTACATATATACATATGTATATCATTGAGTGATAGTTTACATTGGAGAACATCAGTTTTCCACTCGTTTTATTGCAATGATTACAATCTTCTACGTGTATCATCATTCACAACAGTATTTGCTTCTATTCCCTTTGTTTTGTTTGTGGGGGGCAGGTCTGGGGAGGAT